GTGAACGAAGGCGATGAAGAAACTAACTCGTAATCTGATCGACGAGGATCCTAGTCAGTGTTTGAAAATTTTTATCGTAGTACATAGTTAAGAAGACGAAAATCGACTGGCAGAGATTCGAGATGTTTTGCCTAAGCGAAAATGAGTAATTCCTTCAACAAATATGATAACAAACATATCTGCACCCGATCATCTTGACAAGCTTCTTTGCCATTGGCAGTGTTTTTTCAAAGACCAACGAAAGAAAGATAGAAGAGAGTTGGAGCCAGACACAATAATGTCCAGTTTTCAAAAGACTCCAGCGTCACATTAACGAGTGAATACTTACAGTGCTCTTAATTTCCACCGAATAAACTTTAAAATATGTATGTAAACCCTGAGGACTGGGATGTTGACTTTGCCTTTCCAAATTTTTTACCTTGCTTTGTTTTAATGAGAACGAAGCTGTTGTAGAAACTGAATCGTAACCTTACCGAGGAAGACAATTCTAGTCAGTGTTTGAAAATGTTAACGCAGATCACAACTGAAGACGAGAATGAACTGGCAGAAAGAGAGGTTTTCCCAAAAACAATTAACGAGCGAATCCTTCGACAATGACAACAAACTTACCTTGAAAAGCTTCTTTACCTTTTGCAGTATTTTTCACAAGGACAAACGGAAGAAAGATGGAAACGACTTCTAGACAGACACAGTGCAGTATGTTGCCCAGTATCCGGACGGTACCAGTATCCGGACATTTAAAACAAAAACTCAATTTTTGAAGCGTCCTTTTCAGTTCTCGGTAAAGGAAATATTTGGAATGAAAGCTGAACATTTCAGCTTTAAGATGAAAGTTTTGGCGAGTTTAAAGCATGCGAAACAGTCGCAGAAGACGCCGTTCTGTTCAGGCGAGTAAACTTTTCACGGCTCATATTTACGCTGTTTACTGCGCAGTAAAATTAGTGCTGCTCAGAAAAAGGTAGGTAATATGTGATATTTTCAAAGAAACTGTTTTATATTTAAAGTGAAGATACTTAAAGAAGTCAGGTCCTCAGAAAGTTTGTTAATTCCTCTTGAAATTCGATTTGTTTGGAATAACGGAGGCCAGAAACATTCACTAAGTATTGATGTCAGGTGCCCAGTATCCGGAAAGTTTTTTCTTTGCTGTACAGAATCGATGAATTAGCTGTGTACATTATCCGGAGAAGATTTGTTTCATATCTATAACTATAATTAAGGCTTAGGATAGATGATATAGTCGTAAAATGTCATTCTACTCAACTCCGTATAGAAATTTTCTTCACTCATTCAGAGGCGACTTTATCGTGTGCACGGCTTGGTTCGCGTGACTGCATTTTTTTATATATAACCGAAAGCGTCGGAGTTGAACCTGGAATTCTCATACTTTCCCCAGTTGTGATTGCTAGAATGGGGTTGCAATGGTCTGAAAAATGTCACAAAGGGATTAAGAGATGTGAAAGAAGGAGCAATTAGTGCTAGAAAATCAGGCTTATTATGAGGCTGAACATGAAGAAATCAACAATGCAGGTCAGACTAAATGCGAGAGTGACCTTTGACCGTCAGGTTGAGGTCCCTTCCCCAAGCTTTTTTTTTTTTAATAAAAATGAAGAAAAACAGTCGTTTGCAGATTGGCTAATTGAGCTTGCAAACCGCGGCTTCGGCATGTCCACGGAATCCTTAAATCAGTGAAAAAGTTCCTAGACAAGGAAGTAAGAATTATACCATTTAACAGCCACTCGCGTTCCCCACCATACCCCAGTCATTTGTTACGTATTATTTCACGATGCTAGGTTATATTTTTGGAATCGATTGCCAGACTACTTAGCAAGTGCAAAATTAAAGAAGCTTGTAAGTCGCTTGCCTGTCAAAATTTATGTACAATTACGTTGTTATTTTTGTGTCCGGATACTGGGCCAGCTGTCCGGATACTGGGCAACATAGGAGCTCTGCAAAAATATTAATTTCGCGATGGACACAAGGGCAAAAAAGTTAAACTGTCTTTCGTCATATGAAGGACTAAATAGATTTTCTCTGGGCCAAATTTCAGAGCTCTTGCGACTAACAAAGGAAAGTTATTGCAATGTTATACTGAAGTGTCTGGATACTGTCCGGTTTCCAAAATACTCCAGCGTTACATTAAAGAGCTAAAGCTTACAGTGCTCTTAGTTTTGACCTAATAAACTTTTTCAACATGGCAAATTTGTTTTTTACTTTCTCGGAAAGCCTTTTGTTTTGATTTGTATAGGTAATAGCATGATTTGTAGTGATATTTGGCATAAATACCATGAGTGATATTTCGAAATTGTTATACGTAATTTCACGAGCCGTTAGGCGAGTGAAATTTGAGACAATTTTGAAATATCATGAGTGGTATTTATGCCAAATATCACGCACAAATCATGCTATTATTCGTTTATACTACTACCCACAAGGGTTTTGTAATTTTCACATGTAGGTATTTCAAATTAAGCTGAAATACCACTGCTCTAAGCCAATGAAATTGCAGAAATTTCCCATGTTGTAGTATAATTACAGACATTCACTCTTAATCAGCTGCAAAATTTCAAAAGAGGTAGAAAGTCAATATGCGCGTCACGACCTCTCAGTATGAAATAAGCGGCAAAAACTCATATTTGCTCCAGATTTTCCTCCAAAGCATAATCTACCAGTCAGAGAAGACAATTCACTGGAACAAGCTAAGGTAAAAGTCGCGTGTTGCCTACCGAAACCCCTTTCTTACACTATGTTAGGACAATTAATTATTATTACTGATCAATCGGACATTGTCTGTTGTTGTTGTTTTAACCTTATTTTTGCACTATTTCTGTTTTTGTTTATTTCACGTCATTATTTTAAAAAAGTGTCCATGGACCCAGTCCATGAAAGTGGTCCATGGACCCGGTCCAAAGTGTGGGTCCATGGTTTGTCCTCACCCTTTGAAATTGATTTTTTGCCATGTGCTCAGCTGATTTAACTTGCGTGAACGGATCCAGGATCCAGTTAGTGTTATATGCCAATTGCTTTCAAGTATTAACTTATGGGTTTTTTGAATAAAAATTTTCAAGAAATTTAATAAGTTATTTATCTGTCATTGTTCATTCATAACATTAGCTCAAACACGATCGTGAGACTACAGATCAGAAAGATTTTTAGAAAACCTTTAGATGGGCTACTCCCCATCCTTGAATTAAAACTAAAGTGTTGTTTTTGTACAAGTTTCATTGAATTGCTATTCACTCTCTTATCACATTACTTGCCCTTCAATATTGTTGCAGTGTGCTGTTCTTTTTCCATTAACCTCGTGTCCTGAATACAGCTGAAGCCGCTGATGAATGAAGTTTGTTTTCAGTTGTTTGTTTACGGCTTCATATTCTCGCTGACACAGTGAGCTTATCTAAAATATGTAAGAGTTATCCTCTATTCTAATAACAGACTCGTCGGCTTTTCGAGCCCGGGTTTGTCTTTATTTTTGTAAAAAAACAAAAACAAAAACAAAAACAAAAACAAAACAGTTGTAAGTTACTGTTTTATTAACGTTTTCTTCATAGTTTGTAGTGTGACTACCTCACGTTTCTCAGCCATGTACTGCACAACACCTGAACACGAACCGCACAGTTTGAGTAGGTTAAAGGTTATCGTTTGCCGCCTAGCTTTCCTATTATATGTCTGTCCTCAAAGAAAATGTAAACCTTAAGGTAAAACTTTCTATCAGATATTGTGAGGCTGTATAAATGTAAGGTTAAACTCATAAGTGTTCGTCGGGGCCCGTTTAAAAAAAAATGTAATGGGCTTACCCGAACACAAAAGTCCTTAAGTCGGCCTGATTTTCGTCTTCGCTTTAAGACGCAAATACTAACCCTAGAAATCGTAACCTGTAAATTGCTGCTACTAGAGAGACCTACACTTTCACAATTTTTTCGATTCAGGTTTGTTTACGGGATATTTTTTTGTATGAAAGTAGATCATCACAGTTATAGACGCAACGTTTGCAGTTATGAAAAGAAAGCCTGAAAAAAATTCAGGCTTGTATGGGTTTCGAAAGTTGCGCCTATAACTGCGATGATAACTGCGATAATCTTCTGTCATATAATTCTTCACCCCGCAGTTCACATATATAACTTTCATATATTCATAATGTTATGGAGAGCTAATGTAAATAATAAGCTGCTGGAGTTTTCCAGTCACGCGATGTTTGTACTAGAACTTTCTATTGTCACGTAGTAGAACTGTTTAGAACATTGTGCTGGATGATGTAACTCACAATGTAATGTTACAAAAATAGTAGTCTTGTAAGCTCTTAGAACTATCTAGAACATGAAATGACTGTATATAAGGGCTTAGTGAGCTTTGAGTTAGTTGTTATTGTTACGGCTGAGATTGACAGGAGAAGCTCTGCTGGGAGAGCTATAGCAGTTTGCTGAGGAGTACTTTGAAGTTAAGTCATTCCAAGTGGCTCCAGGACGTTTGGTGATAGCAGTGCCTACAGTGAGTTAGTGTCAGTGGCGACTGAAGGTTAATAATAGGCTCTAAGTAGTTTGTAGTAAGGTTGTATTGTGCGAGAGTCGCTCCCAAGTTGTAGTTATCACTTGAAGTATAGTTAATTAAATTTTGACTTTAAGGAGAGTTCTTTTGTATTTTTCTGTCGGTTGAATTATACCGTAACAGAAATTGGGGGCCTGTCCGGGAGCAGTAAGTTTTGGCCGTAGAATCTATCGTATATATTGTTTAAGGATAAATAGTTTTCTGAAGGAGATAGTCAGAGTGAAGCAAAATGTCAAAATTTGATCCAGAACAGTTTATGTTAGAGCCCAGCGAAGATGCATTTTATGACTTAAAGAAGGATGAGCTTATTTCATTAGCTAAACACTTGAAACTAGAGGTTAAGAAGCAATGAGAAAACATCAGATTACGAATTAGTTCCTGAAGCTTACCGTCAAAAGTTTAGAAACTGTGAGAAGTTAAGTAATCAAAATTACGTAGAATTTGCTAGGAGTAAGGAACAGTTATTTGACCGATGGTGTCATTCAAAGAAGGTAGACAAAAGTCACGATAAGTTAAGACAGTTAATTTTAATAGAAGAATTTAAGAGGTGCATTCACAGTGATGTCCGAACGTTCATCGATGAGCAGAAAGCAGAAACGTTGGAAGACGCGGCACGGTTAGCAGATGAGTTCTCATTAAGTCACAAGGTGACATTTGTGGACAAGCCCCTTCGGCCCAGCTGTACATCATCTAGTCAAGGTCCACGCTCTACACCACCACGCTGGCCTGGCAATCAAAGACGTCGACAGAGTGATGAGTGGTACCCAAAACGGAATCCAGGTACCACCCTTGCAAATCGCGGTTTCAATTCTGAGCCACCAAAGCAAAACAAGAACATGCCAAACAAGCCCGTCAAGACAATTACTTGTTATTATTGTAGAAAAGATGGACATATGATTTCAAATTGCCCGGAAAAGTGGAGAATGACACGACAACAGCATGGTGTCGAGCCTAGGCCAATTGGTTTCATTGCTACGTCACTGTCTTTACCTGTTTTTAGTGAAGATATGCCTACCAAGTGTCACAATGTAAAGACTCAGTCAAGTAACATAGGTGTTCCGTCGAAGCCTGTTATGGACATTTTTGAGCCCTTTATTCATGATGGTTCAGTGTCATTATCAAGTGATATGTCCGACTGTACACCAATCAAGATTCTAAGAGATACTAGAGCTTCACAGTCCTTGCTGTTGAGTGACACTTTGTCCTTTTCTGAGGAGTCGTCTGCTGGAATGAGTGTTCTTATCAAGGGAGTCAATTGCTCTGAATACACTCCAATACCACTTCATACCGTCTACCTGTCCTCAAACCTTGTGTCTGGGCCCGTCAAAGTTGGAGTACAGTCTTCTTTACCATTTGAGGGAGTACAGCTGATTTTAGGAAATGACCTTGCTGGAGAAAAAGTTGTTGTTAATGCTATTGTCGCGGATAAGCCTTGTTTAGAACAGTCTCCTGATCCAGTAGAGAAGGCAATTCCTGGTTTGTATCCAGCATGTGTTGTAACTCGAGCCATGGGCAAGAAGAAAGAAAGCGCGGAGGAAGAAGTCACATTAGCAGACACTATCATTGGTGAAGCCTTGAAGAGTAAGCCATCAAGAACCCTTGTCCCCGAGCCAGCGGTAGACGTTACCGAGGACGGTTTGGCATATCAGGCTGACAAGATGTCCACGCCTCATCTGATTGCAGAACAGCAAAGAGATCCAGTAGTTTCAAGCTTGTTTGCGAGAGTCGTTGATGAAAGCGAAGTGTCAAAGAACCCTGCATGCTTCTTTACAAAGAACGGAGTGCTGATGAGAAAGTGGAGGCCACCTGATATTCCAGCAGAAGATGAGTGGGCTGTCAAGTACCAGATTGTTGTCCCGAAGAGTTATAGGCAGGAGATTTGAAGTTTGGCGCACGAGACTCCTCTAGCTGACCACATGGGCATCAATAAAATCTATGAGAAGATCCTTAACCATTTCTACTCGCCAAATGTAAGAAAGGATGTAGCAGAATTTTGTAGATCCTTCCATGCCTGTCAGATTGTTGGGAAACCGAATCAGACCATCCCCAAAGCCCCCCTTAAGCCAATACCAGCTGTCGAGGAGCCGTTTAGCAGAATTATCGTTGATTGTGTTGCTCCATTACCAAAGACGAGGTCTGGAAATCAGTATTTGTTGACTATTATGTGTGCGACTTCCAGGTTCCCTGAGGCGATACCCCTGAGAAACATCAAAGCCAAGACTATTGTCAAAGCTCTAACCAAGTTTTTCACACTAGCGGGCCTTCCAAGTTCTATCCAGTCGGATCAGGGTTCGAATTTTATGTCCGGAGTGTTTCAACAGGTCATGTACGAGCTTGGGGTCACTCAGTATAAGTCATCTGCATATCATCCTCAAAGTCAAGGAGCTCTTGAAAGATGGCATCAGACTCTGAAGAACATGATGAGGATTTACTGCTTCGAAACGGAGAAAGAGTGGGGCGAGGGTATTCATTTGCTGTTGTTTGCTGCAAGAGAGTCAGTGCAAGAGTCTCTAGGATTCAGTCCCTTCGAGCTTGTGTTTGGGCACACTGTGAGAGGACCTCTTAAGTTGCTTAAAGAGAAGTTATTATCTAACTGTAGTGAGTCCA